TTTCTCTTTTTTCTTTTTTTCTTTCTTTTTTTCTTTTTTCTCTTTTCTCTCTCTCTTTTTTTTTTTTCTTTTTTCTTTTCTTTCTCTCTTTCTTTCTTTTTCTTTTTCTTTCTTTTCTTTTTTCTTTTCTTTCTCTCTCTCTTTTTTTTAACCTTTTTTTCTTTTCTTTTTCTTTTTTCTTTCTTTTTTCTTTTTTTCTTTTCTTTCTTTTTTCTTTTTTCTCTCTCTTTCTTTCTCTTTTTTCTTTTTTTCTTTCTTTCTTTCTTTCTTTTTCTTTTTTTTCTTTTTTCTTTTTTCTTTTCTCTTTTTTCTTTTTTTCTCTCTCTCTTTCTTTCTCTTTTTTTCTTTTTCTTTCTTTTTTCTTTTCTTTCTCTCTCTCTTTCTTTCTCTTTTTTTTTTTTTCTTTTTTCTCTTTTTCTTTTCTTTCTCTTCTCTTTCTTTCTCTTTTTTTCTTTTTCTTTTCTCTTTTCTCTTTCTTTCTTTTTTCTTTCTCTCTTTTTTTTTCTTTTTTTTCTTTTTCTTTTTCTCTCTTTTTCTTTTTCTTTCTCTCTTTCTTTCTCTTTTTCTTTTTCTTTCTTTCTCTTTTGTTTCTCTTTTTTTTTCTTTCTTTTCTTTTTTCTTTTTTTTCTTTCTCTTTTTCTTTTTTCTTTTTCTTTTTTCTTTTTCTTTTTCTTTCTCTCTCTCTTTTTTTCTCTTTTTTTTTCTTTCTTTCTCTTTTTTTCTTTTCTCTTTTTCTTTTTCTTTCTCTTCTCTTTCTTTCTCTTTTTTCTTTTTTCTTTCTCTTTTTTTCTTTTTCTTTCTCTTCTTTTCTTTTTTTTTTTTTCTTTTCTCTTTCTTTCTCTTTTTTCTTTTCTTTCTTTTCTCTTTCTTTTTCTTTTCTTTCTTTTTTCTTTTTTTTCTTTTTTTTCTTTTTCTTTCTCTTTTTTCTTTCTTTCTTTTTTTCTTTTTCTTTTTTTTTCTCTTTCTTTTTCTTTTTTTTCTTTCTTTCTCTTTCTTTCTTTTTTTTTTCTTTCTTTTTTCTTTTCTTTCTCTTTTTTCTTTCTCTTTTTTTCTTTTTCTTTTTCTTTCTCTCTCTCTTTCTTTCTCTTTCTTTCTTTTTCTTTTTCTTTCTCTTTTTTCTTTTTCTTTCTTTCTCTTTTTTTCTTTTTCTTTCTCTCTCTCTTTCTTTCTCTTTTTTCTTTTTCTTTTTCTTTCTCTTTTTCTTTTCTTTCTTTCTCTTTTTTTCTTTTTCTTTCTCTCTCTCTTTCTTTCTCTTTTTTTCTTTTTCTTTTTCTTTCTCTCTCTCTTTTTTTTTCTTTTTCTTTTCTTTTTCTTTTTTTTTTCTTTTTTCTTTCTTTTCTCTTTTTTCTTTTTCTTTCTCTTTTTTCTTTCTCTTTTCTTTCCAACTTTTTCTTTCTTTTTCTTTCTCTTTTTTCTTTCTTTTTTTTTTCTTTTCTTTTTCTTTCTCTCTTCTCTTTCTTTTTCTTTTTTCTCTTTTTCTTTTTCTTTCTTCTCTCTTTCTTTCTCTTTTTTTTCTTTTTCTTTTCTTTCTCTTTTTTTCTTTTCTTTCTCTCTTTTCTTTCTTTCTCTTTTTTTTTTTTTCTTTTCTTTCTCTCTTTCTTTTCTTTCTCTTCTTTTCTTTCTCTTTTTTTCTTTTTTCTTTCTCTTTTTGCTTTTTCTTTCTTTCTCTTTTTTTTTTCTTTCTTTCTCTTTTTTTCTTTTTCTTTCTCTCTTTCTATCTTCCTTGTCTTTCTTTTTTTCTTTTTAAATTTTAAGCTCTCATCTCATTTCTTAACATCTCTGAACTGATAAGGTCCACATGAAAATCTGTGGATTGAAATGGCTATTTTCCAAATCACTTGATAAGACACCGAGGGTGTTGAAACAAAATGGCTATTTTTGTAGTGATTTTATAACATATTTATGTTATAAATTTTTTTTTTATAAAAAATAATTATATATATTTAAGTAATGAAAAACTTGGTAATCCATATGGGTAATCCCAAGGAAGATGAAATCCAGGGAGTTGAATGTTAAATCAGAGTGATTAATTTAATGAAAACAGACAACTTTAAGAGTCCATTTGTTATAATTTATTTCCCTTGTTCATCAGAGGGTGAAAAAATGAATTTAAATTTACACTTTTGAGAGGTAGTATTAAGTTGATGTAAGGTATATAGATAATATATATATATATATATATATATATATATATATATATATATATATATATATATCTTATTATTAAAACGCAAATTGTGTGTGTGTGTCTGTAACGTTTATATATTGGATCAGATTTCCTACATTTTTCAACCGATTTCAACAAAACTTCACAGGACTACATAAAATATGAGTGTGTCATATGTATCATTTTAGTTTCCTATTTTAACCCCAGTGTGTCGGCTGGATATTGCTCAAATTTAACGCGTCTTGTCTCTAGATAAAGGTGGTTAAGGGGTGAGTGATAAGAATTACATTAAAGGGAGACGTTACAACAACCCCAATAAATTACACAACAGGTTTCATTCAAATTCTTAGACGTGTTAAATTTGAGCAACATCCAGTCGACACACTGGGGTTAAAATAGGAAACTAAAATGATACATATGACACACTTATATCCTCTCTCCCACCTCACTTCGTTAACTTTATGTATACTTGATGAGGTCCATAAAAAAACGTGTGAATTTCTTTTTTCATTTTTCATTTCAGCTTTTGGAAGTAAAGTCTGATGATCCAGAACCCTGTTAAAGGGTTATGGTGAAATAACTTTTATTACATGGAATCTTAACGTGGTCTGTCTTTTTTTCAAATATATATATATATATATATATATATATATATATATCATATGACCTGGAAGGGAATATATTTGTTCGAAGTAAGAGTGGTTTTGGATTACTGTAACTGGGTAGGACAATCTAGCAGTTAACCGTAATGGACTGGTCCTCATCATAGTGGTAGGCAGTAGGTGTAGTCAATAGGTGTCCTCCTTGTACCTCCACATCAGTCTGTATTTATGGCTGACACCAGCCAATAATATTACTGTGAGGGGGAACACAGCTGTATGCATATTCATTACATCAAAAATATATATATATATATATATATAAAAGACCTTACATTAATTGCATAACTCTGAGTTTCATGTCAGGTGCTGGAATTATTTTTATTTCTATTTTGGGTTGTGATGTAATGAATATGCATAAATAATGAATATAATCATAATACCTCATCTCAGAGATATAGACAGATATATAGAGAGACACAGACATAAAGGCCGAAGCACAGAATGTCCGAAACGTTGTGAATATGGCAATGAAGATGAGGATAACAGTCTGAATAATGTAAATAATTATAATACCTCAGAGATATAGACAGATATATAGAGAGGCAAATATTTAAGCAAATTCTCTGTTCATAATAAAGAGAGCATTTACTTAAATATTTGTCTATATAAATAACGTATAACAATAAAATATATTAAAAACAATTGCCAGACTTTGTCCATTCATATTATATGACATCATTTTTTTACGTTAAGATACGCTTCAAGCAAATATGGATGTTTGAGAAAATCATGAGAAGTTTGTAGCTTAAAAGCAGTAATTCAACCTTGCTAACCAGATGTGACATTTGTAAAGAAACTGGTATAGCACATCAGGCAATATGACAGTTCTGTGTAGGATACAGGTTCGATTCCTGTCGAAGAATGCATATTTTCTATAAAATTTCTTGAACATTCAGGCTGGTAAATGTTGTTAATACTGATTATTATAAAACAGAGCATTTACTTAAATATTTGTATCTATAAAAAATAATGCATAACAATAAAATATATATACATATATATATATATATATATATATATATATATGAAGAAAAATATACGGAAAAAACAAACAAAAATCCTAATATGCAATTATGCTGTTTAATGTTAATATAATGTCAACGTTGGACGTTTCAGTCTAATAGACCATCTTCAGGACATATTCATAAAACATAATTATCATAGACCATATTCAATTCAACATGAAGAAGACGATGGGCATAAAAGCAAGACCAATCCAAACAGATAACTGAAATCTTTTATAAGATCATATTTAAACGGAACGCTGATCTTATAAAAGATTTCAGTTATCTGTTTGTTTTTTCCATATATTTTTCTTCATACTGTTGGATCTATATCCATATATTTACTTATATATATATATTAAGAAATGGACAAAGTCCAACAATTTATTTATTAAAGACATTTTTATGTTTAACGTTCTTTTTTATAGATTTAAGTAAATGCACTGTTTATAATAAACGGTATTAAATAACATTTACCGGCCTGAATGTCCGAGAAATTTTCATAGAAAATATTCGTCCTTTGACAGGATTCAACCTGCTTCCTATAATGGAACCGTCATTTACGCTGACGTGCTTACCGCCTCGGCCACAAAGGAGCTGTTCGGTAGGCAAGGTCAATTTACTGCTTATAAACTTCAATCTTCTATGAATCTCGTACATTCATAACTGCTCATGGCGATCAAATGTAAACAAATGACGTCATATATTAAGAAATGGACAAAGTCCGACAATTTATTTATTAAAGACATTTTTATGTTTAATGTTCTTTTTTATAGAAGATTTTTTATGGAAGATTGAAGATTATAAGCAGTAAATTCGACCTTGCCTACTGAATGCTCCTTTGTGGCCGAGTCGTTTAAGGCACGTCAGCGTAAATGACAGTTCCGTATAGGATGCAGGTTCGAATCCTGTCAAAGGACGAATATTTTCTATGAAAATTTCTCGGACATTCAGGCCGGTAAATGTTATTTAATACTGTGTATTATAAACAGAGCATTTACTTAAATACTTGTATCTATAAAAGAATTAAACATAAAATGTCTTTAATATATATATATATATATATATATATATTAATAGAATTTTTATTATATACTAGAAGTATTTTATCTTAATTTTTATTTATCTTTTCAGCTTCTTCAGTTTGAATCCATAGAATTTAACATAATGGCTTTCAAGTGTTCTAACCGGACTCTTTGGACAACAGCTGATGAAGATGGCTACCCGTACTGGGTGGAATTTGAAGACCGTCCATTTGCAAAAGGCAACTCCAAGTTTATGTACAAAGGAAGACTGAATGGTAAAGGCCCTCGCTCGGGAGATTACTGCACCCTTAAAGTATTCAGGACGATTGATATTGCTAAACATGAGGACTGGAGTCTGTATAAAAGTAGAGCCGAGAAGGCTAACAAACTGGCCGCACAATTCAATAAATTGCTTGATAATCAATACAAAGTGAAATTTCTGGTTCCTGTTTTGGCCTTGATTGATATTTCTTCAACCTGTACGGATTGCATTTATTTCTTGAGCAACACGAAACGCATCAGGTCAGATGACTGTGTTGCTGTTGAACCTTATGTTGGTGATAAATTCCGTAAGTTCTACCGTAACAGTCCTTTGAAAGGAGCCGAGCATGCATATGTTCTGCAAGCTTTCAGTCATTTCACTGCCTCGCAGACAGGGGATACTCTTATTTGTGGTCTGCAAGGGGAAGCCCATGGTCCTGAGTTTGTGCTCACTAATCCAATAATTCATTCAGCAAATCAAGAATGGGGACCCAAAGACCAAGGCGCTGAAGGGTTTAAAAAGTTTTTTTCTGCCCATATCTGTAATCATATTTGTCAGTCTCTTGATTTGCCTGAGTACCTGGAGACAATGTCGGTTTCTGGGGAGATGGTGCAAGACACTGTTGAAGGTGAGACGAGCAAGAAGATAATTGAGACCTCTGAAACATCAGAGATTGAAACCATGCCAAAGGAAGTACTTGTTTCAACTGACGAGGTCAAGGAGGAAGTCACACATCCAGATGTTGAACCTCTTCCTCCGGCTGACACTACCGAAGAGATCAAAAAAACTCCTGCAATTTTGCAGACCCCACCTATGCGTCATGAGGGACGTACGATCGTTGCTCCTGTATCAATGGAAATTTCCCTCAGCAGGAGCTCTTCTGTGACTGGGCCCCCTGTATTTGTGGAAGATATTCCAGGTGAGAGTATAAGTCGACCACTTGCTGAGTCTGTGATACTTGATGCCACGCCTATTGATGATATTACCCCCCAGCTGAGTGATAGCCAAGAGGCTCTTCCACCTCCTTGTTCTGAGTATCTGGGTCCATTCACTCCTTGTAGAACAGTGAATGAATATCTGGAATTAAGAAAGAGTCATGCATCATTTTCGCCAGGCTCTGAATCCATTCCCCTGATAGACGATGAGCTGGCTTGTGCTGAGAGCAAGATGAAGGAAGTCCTTCCTCCACCAACTGACGACTTTGAGCCAACAATATCACCTTCATTGAATTCTTACCTGAAAGACAAGGAGAGCTTAGAAATTATCCCCCGTGCCAATATGGATCTTGACTTGGAATCTCGTCAAAGCATTTCTGTCTTTGAAGATATCATCCCTGCCCCAGATCTCGGATCCACAGACAACTCTCAAATGCTCTCACCAAGAGAGAGCATTACCCGTGATATGGAGAAGTTTGAAAGTCTTGTGAACACTCCGTGCGGAACGACAAGCCAGGAAAGTCTTGTGACAACACCATGTGGAAGTATCCGTCAAGAAGTTGATTCACAGCCTAGCATTGTCTCAACTCCAAAAGATAGCGTGTCTCATGAGTTTATCCAGGTTTCTGAACTACCTCTTGAATCTGCAGTAGATTTACAGGTAAGCACTGAAATTCCACCTGATATTGAATCACAGGTATGCTTGGTATCAATTCCCCCAGATTGTATGGACCACCATTTAGATACATTAGAAAGCTTGGAAGCCATGTCACCTGCTAGTGAAAAGTTAAGATCTGTTGAATTAATGACTGAGCTGAAATGGCCTTCAGCAGAACCTGGAGAAGAATCTGTACCATCTGGTGTGGAACCGGTTCTTGAAGAGCAGATCAGTGCACAAGAATTTTCTGAGACCAAAACCATCCAGGAAACGGGTACGGAAAGTTTTGAAAGCTCCTCATTGGACAATGTAGAAGTTGAGGTGCCAAAGCCAGTGTGTGTGGATACCATATCATCTGACTTTAAGCAGAGTCTTGAGACAATACCTGAAGGCAGCACTGAGAGTGACTCTGCTCATAGCCTGGAAAATGAGAGCCTTGCACCTGAGGTATCGACAGAAGGTGAATCTGCAGTTGGAACTATGGATAGCACTACGATAGAAAGTCAAACGTCTGAAACAGTCTCTCAAGAGACCACTGGTGAAACATCTCTACAGCCTGCTGGTGAAGCTACAGTCTCGCAAGAGACAACTGTCGAGACATCTGCTGAGCCTGCTGGTGAAGCTACAGTCTCACAAGAGACAACCGTTGAAACATCTGCTGAGCCTGCTGGTGAAGCTACAGTCTCGCAAGAGACAACTGTCGAGACATCTGCTGAGCCTGCTGGTGAAGCTACAGTCTCACAAGAGACAACTGTCGAGACATCTGCTGAGCCTGCTGGTGAAGCTACAGTCTCGCAAGAGACAACTGTCGAGACATCTGCTGAGCCTGCTGGTGAAGCTACAATGTCGCAAGAGACAACTGTCGAGACATCTGCCGAGCCTGCCGGTGAAACTACAGCCACACAAGAGACAACTGTTGAGACATCTGCTGGTGAAGCTGCAGTCTCCCAAGAGACAACTGTTGAAACATCTGCTGAGCCAGCTGGTGAAGCTACAATGTCACAAGAGACAACCGTTGAGACATCTGCTGGTGGAGCTGCAGTCTCCCAAGAGACAACCGTTGAAACATCTGCTGAGCCTGCTGGTGAAGCTGCAGTCCTACAAGAGACAACTGTCGAAACATCTGCTGAGCCTGCTGGTGAAGCTACAGTCTCACAAGAGACAACTGTTGAAACATCTGCTGAGCCTGCTGGTGGAGCTGCAGTCTCCCAAGAGACAACCATTGAGACATCTGCTGAGCCTGCTGGTGAAGCTGCAGTCTCCCAAGAGACAACTGTTGAGGCATCTGCTGAGCCTGCTGGTGAAGCTGCAGTCTCCCAAGAGACAACCGTTGAGACATCTGCTGAGCCTGCTGGTGAAGCTGCAGTCTCCCAAGAGACAACAGTTGAGACGTCTGCCGAGCCTACTGGTGAAGCTACAGTCTCACATGAGACAACCATTGAGACATCTGCTGAGCCTGTGGGAGAAGCTACAATCTCTCAAGAAACAACCATTGAGACATCTACTGAGCCTGCTGGTGAAGCTACAGTCTCACATGAGACTACAGTTGAAACATCTGCTGACCCTGCTGGTGAAGCTACAGTCTCGCAAGAGACTACAGTTGAGACATCTGCCGAGCCTGCTGGTGAAGCTACTGTCTCTCAAGAAACAACCACTGAGACATCTACTGAGGCTACTGGGGATGCTACGGGAGAATGTGTTGTAAGTCATGTGATCAGTGAACCAATTGCCCAAGAACCTTATATTGGCCAAGAAAGAGCAATGGGAGAAGTTAATGTTAGCCAAAACACTGTAGTTGAAAGAACAGAGGAAGCCAATATTTGTCAGCAGACTGCAGTGGAAAGTACAAATGAAACTTGTCTTGGACAAGACACTGTATTAAACTCAACAAATCAGAGTCCTGGAAATTGCTGCCTTCTTCAGGACAATGTGACCGAGTCATTAGTCGAAACTAGAAAAGATGGTGATTTAATTCAGGAGGCTGCTGTTGAAACTACTGCAGAAAGCAATATCTGTCAGAGTAGTGAATTTGTATCAACGTCTGGGACTGCAGAAGGATATTCCAGCCAAGAAGCTGTTGCAGAAGCAGCTAATGAAGAAGGTTATATATATCAGGGTCCTGAAACAGGAACGACTGCAAATGTTGCTGGAGAAACTTATTGGGAGACTAGTGGGTCGGCTGTTGAAGCAACCAGTGGATACAAAACAAGTCATCAAGATTTGCAATTTGAACCAACAGTATCTGTCCACACTAGCCAAAATGGTGGATTCAGTTCAGTGACTGAGACAAGATCATCCTGTTGTTCTAACGAAGATCAAAGTTTCACTGGGAAATATGATTATGATCCCAGCTCAAATATTTATTCCCACTCTTCTGAAACATTATCATACCCTACTGAAGCCAACAGAGCGACAACCAGTCAAGTAACAGACTCCTATTTCTATGGGGTCCCACCAGAATACAAAATCAGTGAAGATTGTACGTCATCCCAGTGGGAATCCGGCTACCCACAGAGTTACCCCAAAATGACCATTGTCCCTGATTTAGATACAATGGAATATGTTGAAACAAAATGCTTGGACAGTGTCTACGAGGAACACGATGTTCAGCAGGGAATTGAAACATTACCAAGAAGAAAGCTAACTTATCTTGAGCCACAGGAAAGTCACGAAATCATAACTTTCAGAATTAACATCTCTCCAGAACAAACAACACCTGACCAAAGATCAGATGAGTGTGTTTACCAGAATATAGGTACGCTTTGCCAGCGTTCCAACTTGCAAGAATCAAATCTTAGCTCTGCTAACTACTGCACAACTTGTCAACCACAGGAAGCATCGGAAAATGTTGGGGAGACAAGTGGGCAAGATTCAAGATCTGTCAGCTCATTTTCTTACCATTATTCACAAGACACAAACGACTGCACGGAATCCATGCCTCAAAGAAGTTGTGGCTACAGCAGTGAAGTTCATCAGAGTGTTCCTGCCGACTGGAGCCCCACTCAGGCCGTCTGGGATGATGGCCAATGTTCAACTTCACAGAATTTGCAAACGACACCAAGAGAAAGAGTTGATTCAGAATTCGGCCCTAGTGTCTGAATGAGCTCAAATTTGGCTTGAACTATTAATAGTATTTTTCTGGATGCAATATCATTTTATCTTTTCAGCTAATTACATACCTCTTCTTGAGATTAGCTTCCAAAAATAATTTCCTGCCCTGCATCTAACAAAAAAGGAGTTGTGGGTGACACATACATAAACACACACACATACACATATATACATATATATATATAATACACTGTTGCATTAGAACGTGTTAGTATCCACTACAAAATTGTACATTTTGTTTCAACATTTAAAATAAAATATCTCTTCAGGTGGTTAACAATGATGGTAAATTATAATCATTGTTAACCACAATGTTAACTACAATGTTAACAATCATTGTAAATTACCATCGTTGTTAACCACCTGAAGAGACGTTTTATTTTAAACATTGAAACAAAATGTACAATTTTGTAGTGGATAATTACATGTTCTAATGTAACAGTGTATAATAAATATTTAATGCTCTACTCTTGTATTGAGCACTGTTTTAAATTAATGTTTTGAACGTTGCAATTTTATTCTTCGTTCTTTTACATTTGGATGGATATATATATATATATATATATATATATATATATATATATATTTTCTCACCCTAACCCTTTAACTGCAGATGACAGAAATTTTGGTAAACTTGGACATTTGTGTCTGCATAAAATGAGGTGACAAAAGGACAGTTTTTCCATTGACGTCACAATTATTTTAACTACCTGCACTTCTCAGCAATATTTATTTTAAAGAGTGATGATTAAAATTTTAATAAAAAAGCAAACATATGATGAAAGTGAATTTATTTATTTTCTTTGTTCTGGAAAATTGAGAAAAAAATATTAAACAATTTTTATTTATTAGATTCTTTATTTACACTATTTATTTATTATATTATTTGTTGGAATGGTTGGCAAAACATCGGCTAATTGCCATTTGATTTGAACTTTATAAAATGGTGAATAATAAGTATTTCCTTATTGTTGTTTCACATATTTTAATAATTTAGTAAATGTTTATAAATTTATGAATAAAATATTGTTTTCACATTTATTTTATTATAAATTGGTAAATGATAAATATTGCATTGTTTTAGTTTTCATACAATTGTATTAGATTTTAGAATGTTGTAAATATAAAATCATTCTTTTAAATAAACAAATAAAGTGTTTAATAATTTTTAAAATGTAAATATAAAATTCTTGTAAATAAACAATCTTATAAATAAATAAATAGTGTTTAATAATTTTGTTGTCAATTCTCAAGAACAAAAAAGTGTATAAATTCACCTTTATATGTTTAGGTTTTATTCCAATTCTAATCATTGCTTTTTAAAACAATAAACATTGCTGAGGAGTGAAGGTAGTTAAAATAATTGTGGTCTCAATGGAAAAACTGTCCTTTGACATTACATTTTGGGGGGGGCACAAAGGTTCATGTTTGCCAAAACTTTTATTACAGTTCTCTGGCTCCACTGGAAAATTCTGCTGCAATTAATGGGCTGAAACAGATATTCTGAGCAAACAAATTTACACGGTTTTATTAGGTTTTGAAAAATAAAATTTACTTTATTTTAAAAAGTATATATTCAAAACATAATTAACACTTCTTACAAACAGACTGTTATCCTCATCTTTTTGTTGTTTTCACAACATTTTGGCCAATGTGCATTCTGGCCTTCATCAGGTGTATGTCAATCCGGGTAACCTAAAAGGGTTTGATTGTTCTCATTTTCCTGCCCATGTATAGGGATATCTCTTCTAGTTGTTATTGTTAGTACTGCTCAGCTATTATTGCTTGATCTGTTTCTATTGAGTTCAAGTACACATTACCTGGCCCAGTGGTAAGCAGTAACTGTCTAGTACTAAAATAAGAACTAGACCACCTTCCACACTACTTCAAACAAAAGTTTAGGAAGGAAACCCCAGTCAGTAGTCGAAAGAGTGATAACAGCTACTGGACTTGAGAAACCTATTTTCTTGAAAAATTGTCTTAAGAGAAAAATTTTATACATTTCAAGCAAGAGTACAACTGACCATTTGGTCAATGATTGGCAAAGGTTTCTTTATAAGGAAATGGCTAATACTACCATCAACATTACCATTGTTCCACTGACCATGTCCTAGATATGGGAGCATTGGAATGAGAACAGATTATTCCTTTAGATTAAATAAAGAGTTCGGAATTCCCTTTTAGGTTACCTGGATTGACTTACCCCTGATGAAGGTGAAAGTGTTTACCTGCTGAAATTTTGTAATAACAACAATAAAGATGAGGACAATAGTAAATAGTATAAATAATGATAACTCCTCTTCCCAGAAATTCAAAATGTACTTTGAGTTTTTTTTTTTAAACAGTCCTAACTAAAGAAAATGGTGGAGATCTTAAATCATTAGATTGGGCACAAATTATCTAAATTTTTGTTTGAACTCTGGAAGGCAACATTTATGTCTTCATCTTTCGTATCCTTAATATTCTGAGGCCAGTTCTATATTTGGCGAACTTGTAACGTTTGTCTTCTGTGAGTAAATTAATTGATTAAAAATAAGGAAATATATGTCGTTTATCATCATAACTTTATAAAAAATGTTATGTTGGCTTTGAAATATATTTTCTGAAATTGGATGCATGAAAAGAAAAGAAATAAAAAAGAAAATAAGCAAAAGAGAGAAGAAATGCATTATGGGAAAAATGAGCAGCCATCTTATTTTCTTTGTGTATTTGCTGATGATTTGTCTTGTAGAGTTTGGCAAAATATACACTAAAATACCTGTTTGAGTTTAGGTATATGTAGATTTTCAAGGTTTATTTTTTTTTTTCTTACTCTTCTAGTCTCATCATATCATGACTTGATAAGAGGGTCCTTAATAATGACAACTACAGAGTTTAGTCTGGTTACTTCTCTGCCAACAACGATGTTACTCCTGCTTTTTATTCCCATATAACAATATGGCCAATACGGTTCTTCCGTGGCTGAACAAAGGTTGAAACAGTGCTTCTGTTTCCTTAGTTCCGTCAGCCAATTAAGTGCCATACATGACACTAGGACAATCATGTCTCTTTTGATTCATGACTGACTAGGCAGAAGGTTTTCCTGCAGTAGACATGTTACCAATCAAGTCTACAGGACCTAATCTGTCCTGCTATTTTACCCATAGCTGGAAGGAGAAGAAATAGATACATACCTTTTCCAAGGGTATTTGTGTGTTAGTGAATGTAGCTAAATGCGTCTGAAGGAAGTAAAACAGCTAGTGACATACGCTCACCACAGGCTATAGAGTGGGCTCTATAGCTGTGAAGCTCACTCTTACCTATTGCACTAGATGATCATTGACCCTACAAAAAGGTCTATCCATCCTTTCACAGGTTTTGTTTTTAATTCTGCTGGATTTCTAGCCACCATCATCACCAGAAAAGCCTGGTGGGGAAACCAGTTTTGCCAGTGATGACCTAACATGGCAGATAGTATTAGGATATATGGTACCAGTTAGGACTCATAGTGCCCTGACATGGAAATAACTTTACAGAAAGTAAAATATTTTTAAAATCCTGCATTCAAATCTTCTATTATAAATATTTTTCATCAAGGTTCTCCATTAGTTTGTGGCCAAGTTGACAACCACTTAATTTTGACTCCAGACAAATTGTCTTCCACCAAAAAATATAACTGTATGACTATAGAGTAGGTACCACCACTGATTTCCTAAAAAAAAAAACTAGTATACCATGATTAAAAAAAGCCCCAAACTTCATAAAAACAAAGTTTTATCATCAAAATCTTTGTTATCATTAAGAAGAAAGACCAAAGAATATAAAAGGTTTTAAGAAAGATTTTTAATTTTTTAAAATTTATTTTAAACCTTAGGTATCGCATTTCTGTGGTGGTAGTTAAAATTGAATGAAAATAAATGAAGTTAAATTCAAAGAATGACAAAACAAAAATTGTGGAATAAATAACAGTTAAAATAATTATTTTTAACAAATGATACATAATCTTTGACTGTGTAAAGTGAAATGGATATTTCTGATGGAACAATAAATTACAGTCATGGAACATGGAAGTCATGAATGTTTTGAGTATGTGTGGGTAGGTTGCAAAGTGAACAGTTGACATGTATTGATTGGACAATCTGTGTGTTTTGTGGGAGAGTGTGTGTGTGCATGTGTATGTCTACAGCCCGGAAAGAGGAATGAATGGACGAGACTCTGGTTCTACTGGTGGACAGCAATCCTTATATAAAGGCTAATTGGATCAGATAAGTTGTTTTTAAGAGTCTTTTCTGATTGGTTATTTTATTTCAAAATAATTATTTATTTTGTTGGGTACTATAAAGTTATAATTATTTATTTTGCTGGGTACTATAAAATTATAATTGTTTATTTTGTTGGGTACTATAAAGTTATAATTATTTATTTTGTTGGGTACTATAAAGTTTTAATCTGTAATGCAACTCATTTAATCTGTAAGTAAACTTTGTAACATATGAAAGGAATTATTGGTTTTTATATGTAGAAAATCTGCCATTCTTAAAGTATATCAGAAAGACATTGAAAATTGCAGTGAAAAAAGGTTTGTTAATAATTTTAAATTTATCAATGATCCACTTTAATAATAGTTGAAGCTGGCTGCTGAAAAGTACTAACATCAACTTTTTCTATCTTGTCTCATCCTAACAGCTTTCTCATCTGATCTCTTCCTGATACCTTTCTTGTCTGGTTTCTTTCTGTCTCATCTGGTCTCTTTCTGTCACCTTTCTTGTCTGGTCTCTTTCTGTCACCTTTCTTGTCTGGTCTCATCCCGACACCTTTCTTTTCTGGTCTCATTCTGACACTTTTCTCATCTGGTCTCTTCATGAGACCTTTCCCATCTGGCCTTGTCCCAATGCCTTTCCATATTGTCCCAACACCTTTACCATCTGGCCTTGTCCCAATGGCTATCTTTTCTGCTTTCATCCTCACACCTTTCTTGTCTGGTCTCGTCCTGATACTTTTCTCATCTG